CTTCGGCTGGCACGAGCGGCTATTTGCATCGCTGCCCGACTTTCCAGAAGAGAGTGACCAGCAAACTTGCCGATGCATAAAAATACTCTTTCCCCTGTACACGACCAGAAAAGCATTCCTATTTCTCCTCTCCGCAAAAAGTTACCCATCTTTCTCTGCGCTGTTTTCTGGTTTTGAACTAAAAAAAAGTATTTTTTTATAAGTTAAAAAGAAATTGTGCTTAACAGACAAGACCAGGAAAATATGCAGTTCTCCTTTACCTACTACTGCATATAGTAAAAATGTAAGCGTATTTAGTAAAAATCTTGGATTAATTCATCGACCAAGTTTACTTTCCTAAGCCAGACATTTTGTGTGTGTGTGTTAAAAAAGAGAACAAAATGCTGTAATTAAGTCTTGAAAGCAAGTCTTGTAAAAGAGCTGCCAGAACCGTAATTCAGCCAATCAATCTCATCGTTCCAAAAGAAGCTTATAGTGTCAACGTTATGAAAATCAAAACGGTAAGTCGGGGATATCGAGAATTATTATAAAAATCGTTATATTTATTTGGGTTGTTGCTAGATGCCATACTGAGTTTCTTGGTGATTATGGCAATGTTTTATTAATAAAATTATATGCATGATTCCATAATACTGTTGGTCACTGTATTTCTTAAACTATTTCTTTTATGAATTTGTACTATATTTCAAATAGATAAAAGTTAATAACATAAATGTTTATTTTTGAAAAATAGCTTGTATCTCGAAATTATGCCTATGAAACTGCTTTCTATATCTTAATAAAAAAATGTTCCTTGCGAAATTTTACATAAATTTCTCATGTCCAATTTAACTTTTACTCTAACCCTAACCTTAACCCTAATCATAATCGAAATATTAATAGCATTTATTTGTAGTAAAATTTTGTAATGAATATTTTTTAACTTAATATAGAAACAAAATTTTCAAAATTTGACTGGTAACTTTGTAGAGCTTATTGTTATACATTTTTTACTGATTATAAAATTAGCTAATAAATACAAACAAAAGTTGAAAAAGAAAATTAAACAAATATAAGAATAATAAAAATATTATATTTAAAGTTTTATGTCAATTTTTATTAAATTATATAGTTCAAAAGAAGAATAAATACAAAAAGGATAAAATAAGAGAGTTTTAATTATATATAATATTCTGATTAATTGTATTAGTTAAACAAAATATTTTAATTAATTAATTAATAGTATTTTAACTTTAATAGACAAATTCTTTGTACTAGTATAAATATATTCCAAAGCTAAACAAATAACAAAAATAACAAAGACGCTTTCATTTTATTCTTTTTACAAGAAAGAGATTATATTATTTTTGGCTAAGGAATGTCAAATTCAGTTATAACAAAAATATTAAAAGATTAATTTATAATAAAATATTAATTTAATAATTCCAATATCAATATTTTAATTAGCTCAATACAATTTAAACTTATTTGTTTGCAAATTTTAAAGTATATAATTAAGAGAGAAAAATGAAATATTTAAGTGTTAAAAGATACTTGTTTTATTATATTATTTATTTTCAAGTTCTTATATATTAAATTAAAACTTAACTATAACTTGTATTTATATATTTTTCACAAATACTAATATAATAATATTAAAAATAAAAAAAGAATATAAAAAATAAATATACTAAAAAAAATAGAGTTTCAATTTATTAAATACGAAAAGTAAAAAAGTAATGATAGTTATATTTTTTGTCAAAATTCATTGATATCTTAACAAGAAATTACTCAAATATCATAAATATTTGGCATTATATTTTTTAGGATAATAGAAACAAAATTTTCTAAGATTATGAAACATGTTAATATAGTAATATTTTGTGAAATTACATGTTAAAGATAATAAATCTAGAAGCTAACCTAGTTAAAGAGCTATAAAAAATTATTTATAAATATTTTTTATAAGCAAATATGAAAATAATTTTATAGAAATATATTTAAAAATATAAAAAATATATTTATAATTTAAAAAAATTTAGTTAATATTTATTGAATAAATATCAGTCAAAAAAAATTTAATTTTGATAAATTTCATAATAAAATATAGTAAAATATAACAAAAATATTATTTTTATTATATTATATTATAAAATTTATTAAAATCAAGTCTTTTTTTAACTAGTATATATTCAATAAATATTAACTAATTTTTTTTAAATTGCAAATATATTTTCTATAATTTTAAATATATTTTTATAAAATTTTTTTCACATTTGCTTATAAAAAATATTTTTAAATAATTTTTTATAGTACTTTAACCAGGATAATTTTTCAGTTTGCTACCTTTAACATGTAATTTCACAAAATATTACTATATAATATGCTTTATAATTTTGTTTTCATTATCTTAAAGAATATAATATCAAATTTTTGTAAATTTTAGCAATTTTTTATTAAATTATAAGTAAAAAATATGTTCACTATTACTTTTCATATTGACTGTATATTTTAGAAATTTATAATTGGCTAAAATATATTTATTAGAATAAATACATATATAATCAAATCTCTCTATAGTTATCACTCTTGAGAAAGCAAAATTTGATGACTATAAAAAAAATGTGACTATAGAAATATTTTTTTTACTATATTTATATATAAATGAAAAAGCAAAATAGGATAACTATAGAGGGGTATGATTATAAATAGATATAACTATAGAGAAATTTGATTATATAAATAAAAATATATAAGTAGAAAAATAAAAATAGATAAATATAATTAATAATATATAATATAATTAAAAAAGTATTTGTATGATTTTTATAATTTTATAAAATATTACAAATTATAAAATTAATAATTTTTATAATATAATTATAATATTATTATAAAAAAACAAAGTTATTGATCAATTTTGAAAATTTTGTTTTTATATTAAGTTAAAAAATTTTAAAAATTGAAACAAATTGTTAAATATAGATTACTTGAATTATATAAATAAATATAATAGCAAAAATAACGTATTAGATTTTTTTTTACTTAGTTATTTTATTCTTTATTTTTTTCATCTAGTTATTTTATTTTTTTTACTAGTTATTTTACTCTTTTTATTTCATTATCTTACTTTTTTATCTTTTTATTTAATTATTTTATTTTTTTATTTAATTATTTTATATTTTATCTTTTATTATTTTTTTATTTTTTTATTTTATTTTATTTTTTATTTTATTTACTAAATATAATATATATCATCTAAAGTTATCAAATCTTTATATTATAAAATGGATGAATTTTTTTTATTAGAAAGTAAATACAAAATTTAATCTGTAAATATGCTCAGAACAGTATATTCTATTATATTTATGAATTAAATTTTGTATTTATTTCTTAGTAAAAAAGTTTATTCATTTATAAAATACAAATTTTGATGACTTTAGATGATATGCATCATATAAGAAATAACATAAAAAAGATTAAATCATAACAATATAATTTTGGATACTATTAAAATAAGCTTAATAAGTAATAATTCAAATTGTTTGAGTAACTTGCAAACCAATTTGTTTTTTAATATCTTTTACAAAAATTTAAGTTTTTCAAAAAATATAAATCTTTATATAAAAAGATCTAATTATAATTCTGAAATATAACTTTTCAGAGTTTACTGTATATTTTAAATTTTGTTATCAATCACAGAATTTTGTGATTATATAAACTTGATAAAATGAATTTTCAAAAATGTAAGCATATAAATGAAAATATTATGTAACTAGATTTTAATCACAGCATGAATTCTTTTTTTATTAATCTCTTTTTTACATAATAATAAATAAATAGCAAAATAAATCTAATCCTGTATAAGTTGGACGAATAATAGGAAAGAAATCAGTAACATCGATAACATTTACAAATACCAAAAAAAATAATATATTTTAATTTACCTGACGAGTCTTAAGTGTGCGTGTGATTACTCTTTCTGGAGTTCTATTAAAGGAATTAGAATCATTAACAATCAAACTATTATAATATTTATAATATGTAAGGAAAAAAAATAATTTTCTTACAAGACATGTACTACAGCACCCCAACCACTGGCTGCATTCCTATCTACAGCACTAATTAATGATTGTGATATTGTCTCAAATAAATCCTCGGGTTCCTGTTATTCACATTAAAAGGAGAAGTGATCTATAAAAAATAATTCATGTAACAAACAAGCTAAAGACACACCTACCAAATCAGGTTCATACAAAGCTTCACACGTTCCGAGCAAACAATCATCAGCTGCGCCACCAACCACGAAATCGTTTGTGGTGGTAACACATCCAATCAAATCCATATTACAGATGTATGGTTTATTATTTTTGTCTAAGCCAGCGATAAGTGGGGATACATAATATGGTGAAAATCTACAGAAAACAAAAAGTATAGCTTTGATTTAACAAGACACAAATACACATACTAGATGTCATATATTTTTACCGTCTTTCGTATAAAGTGGAGGCAACCATATAAGCTAAAGTAGTTGGTTCTATTTCACGTTCTTCGCGTAATTTGTACATGTTGATCTTGTATCGAATAAGTTCTGATCTATGTTGATAGTATAAAAATAAAATGATTAATGATTTCCTTAAATTCATAAATTTTTCCATCAATTTTCACGTTCTTACAAAGTTTGAATGTCAGTAGCCAACCCAGCCATTGCAATGTAAATTTTATCGGTGGCTTGAAAAATCTTTGGGAACTCTGTACCGAGGGTCATTAACTTCATTCCGAAGCGTTTATCAGACGCGATGGCGACACAGTTTTTCCCAAGCATTGCTAATACGGAACCACCATTATATTCATCAATCTAATAAGACAAAAAGTGAGTAAATGAAACAGAGACCCATGGATGGATTTATTAGACAAGACTTTGTGATAATCCCAGGTTATAAACCGTATATATTTGAGACCAACCTCTGACGACATATTTGCTAATCTATGTATCTTTTGAACCTTTGAAAATTGTGTTAAGAATGCGTAATTAAAAACATGTGCTATGACTACGTATATGTTAACACGTGTTTGAATGCGATGATCATCAACATCTATCTACTTTATCAAACAAGTTTTCTATTCCTAGTCATACATCGAACATGTTAAGGGCAACGACTAAAAATTTAGATAAAAGTGTTGTTGGTCGACAATTATTCGCCTTTATTAATAACAAAAACAGCCAAATAGTTCAGCGTCGTTTGTTTGCAAGTGTTATTGACGCTCCTGTTCATGTATCAACCATTGCAAACGGTGCTACTGTTGTTGCTATCGAAGGTGACTTTAAAATATGTGAATAAATAATCTATCATAATTGATCAACCTAATCAATTAATTAATTAATAATTAATTGCAATTAATACAAAAAAGATCAAACACCAGCTTCTTCCGTCTCAATTGTAGTTAAAGCTGGGCCTCGATTTGAAACACCAGATAATGTTGGGGTTACTAATTATCTAAAGAACTTTGCATTTAAGGCAAGTATGTTTAACGATTGAATTTATTTCGATCACGTGAATTAATAACATCTAATTATTTAGAATACAACTAAACGTACAGCATTTCGTACCACACGTGAAGTAGAATTGCTTGGTGGTGTTTTATCCGCGAATTTGACTCGTGAGAATTTAATTCTATCTGCGGAATTTCTTCCTGAAGATTTGTATGTAATTTTGTTTTATGCTTCATCTAATTATTTATTTACTATCGTTTTTATATATAAATATTATATTGATAATATAATAATAAAATCAGACCTTTTTTCTTGGAAATTTTATCTGATACAATCTCGAAAACCAAATATACACATTATGAATTCAAAGATGTCAAAAACTTGGTTAATTTGGAATCTGCTGCTATCGAATCAGTCCCCGAAGTGCTTGGTCTCAATGAAGCTCATGCAGTAGCTTTTCGTACTGGACTTGGAAATTCACTCTTTGCTAAACCTTCAACAAAAGTCACAAATGTAGATATTGTGAAATCATTTGCTGAAAAAGTATATACAGCTTCAAATATCACAATTGTTGGTACCGCTATTGATCCCAAACGATTAGCGGAATTATCAGGACATTATTTTAACGATTTAAACAGCGGAGCTCCTCTAGTCGCCGCAACAGCTGACTCAAAATATTATGGTGGTGATGCGAGAATTCCAAATTCTTCATCCATTAGTCATTTTGTACTTGGATTTCCTGGTGCAGCTTTAGGCTCCAAAGATTACGCGATACTACAAATCCTACGATTCATATTGGACGGAGAGAAACATACTAAATGGGGTGTTGGTGTAACTGCATTGGCTCAAACGATCAATAAATTATCGGCTGGTACACAAATGACTGCATTTAATGCTGGATACTCGGATATTGGTTTATTTGGTGTTTTGATTCAGGGTTTTCATCCAGGATCAATCAGTAAAGCCGCCGAAGCCACAGTTGAACAATTAACTAATGTTGCAAAGGGATTAATTTCTAACGAAGAATTTAAAAGAGCTTTGGCGAAAGCAAAATTTGATACTGCTGTTTCTTTTGATACTAGAGCTTTGAAAACTGAACTTTTGGGCGCTTATCAGGTATATTTAATTGGGATCGAATGGATTACCTTTTCTTCAGGTTATTGATTATTCGTTAATTACTTTATTTCATAGGTTTCTACGTCAGCTCCTTCTGCACTTAACGCGTATGCAAATATAGACACTAGTGATGTTCAAGAAGTAAGCGTATAATAATTTTTGTGATTACTTGCGAATTCTTTTTCTAAATCTTTTTTATTTATCCTTTAGATTGCTCAAAAAATTTTGAAGAGTAAACCAACAGCGGTCGCAGTCGGTGATATCAGTTCTTTACCATATTCCGATTCATTATATTAGTGAATGATTGCGAATTGATCAAAATGTAAAATAATAATTTTGTTAGAATATTTTAATTTTTGGTGCAAAGTAAAAATAAAGTTTTAGATCATATGACATTGATCTTACCAGATTTATGTGCAATTACATGGTGACTCATTCATGATAAATTGACTCTCTGATTAACGTTAATGGCAAAAACTATTTTCAGATTATAAATATGAATAAGCTACATAATCGAAATTTATTCACAAATTTAATAACATTTCATCATTGTCGTGGTCATTATCAAAAAGCTATTTCCAGTAAAATAGTTTCCCGAAATGTAATAATTGCGGCAAAAGATCCGGATACATTAAAGTATGATGTTATTGTGGTTGGAGGTGGTCATGCCGGAACAGAAGCTTGTGCAGCCGCAGCTAGAACTGGCTCAAAAACTTTATTGATCACTCATCGGCTGGATACGATAGGTGAAGATTTCACCTTATATTATAACGTACTGTTGCAAAAGTTAAAAATTAAAAGCGATGGGTAAAAATAGGTGAAATGTCATGTAATCCATCATTTGGTGGAATTGGAAAAGGAGTACTTGTTCGAGAGATTGATGCTTTAGATGGATTATGCGGAAAAATTGCCGGTAAATTGAAGCAATGGAGGCAATAGGGTAGATTGTTTTAGAATTAATTGTTTCCATATTAAACTAAATAATAGATATCTCTGGTATACAATTTCATGTGCTAAATCGATCAAGAGGACCAGCCGTTCATGTAAGAAATATAAGTTTTAATTTGATTGCTTAATATTAAATTGATTCGGATGTGCTGTGGAATAATGATATTTGTTTAATTTTATAGGGACCTCGTGCGCAAATAGATCGAAAGCTTTACAAACGGAACATGCAAGAGTGTCTTTCTAATTATCCAAACTTGGAAATTAGATCTGGCAGTGTACATGATATTATTATGACGCATCCATCGTCGATATCTCTTGATACAACAACATCTAGAAATCGAGATTCTTCGCCACCATGTTACGGACAAGCTCAGGGTGTGAGACTTGGTAAATGTAATCTATTTGATTATTTTCGAAATATTCACTAGCGTTTTTATATTTACTCTATTGTATTTGTTTTTCACATCTAAGAATCGGGTGAATTGATAAAAGCTTCAAAGATTATTATTACTACTGGAACTTTTCTGCAAGGAGAAATTCACATTGGTAAGAATTGAATCGAGTTGAAATAATAGCTAAGCAATTTTATAAGTAAATTTTATTGAATTCTAGATCTGAACGAAACATATCTTTTGTATTTTTTTTATTATTTTTCGTATTTTTATTTATTTGATGTGAAGGTAAAACTGCATATCCTTCAGGTAGAATCGGTGAAGCAGCTTCCGTTGGATTATCTAAATCATTAGAATTGGCTGGATTTCGTCTTGGCAGGCTAAAAACTGGTGTTTATTTATTTTTTGAATCTAATCACTGTCTGAACGAGTGCTAAATCAACAATTTAATTAATGATACAGGAACTCCTCCTCGTTTGGATGGTAAAACAATAAATTATACTAATCTGCGTCCTCAGTATGGAGATGTGCCAGCCACTCCATTTTCTTATCTTCATACATCAGTGCCATTTGAAGTATGTGTATTTATGTGCCAATTTTTCTTGATAGATTGGTGTAGCTCTAATGCCCTTTCCTGCGTGTAGTCTCAACAAGTTCTATGTCATCAGACAAGAACTAATTCTGCGACGCGTAAAATTATTCTTGATAATTTATCAGAATCTATACATATTAGAGAAACGGTCAAAGGTCCAAGGTACCATTTGAATACTTAATTTCCTACCTTTGCAGTTGATGAATTTTTTTACAATAGTAATTAAACTAATTCTTTCATAGATATTGTCCTTCCATCGAAGCAAAAATAATGCGATTCACCGATAAAGCAGGTCATATTATATGGCTGGAGCCGGAAGGTAATTTTATTATATTTTATCTTTTTATGGATTTTCCTGTTATAGGTTCGATTAAGTTATTCTTTGCCTTGTAATGTTTCAGGTTTTGATACTGATGTCGTGTACCCAAATGGCATCTCGATAACTTTACCTGAAGAAATTCAGCGAAAGGTACTTAAAACAATATCAGGATTAGAAAATGCAACAATGCTAAGACCAGGTATTATTTTTATTATGAATCTGTAAAAAAAGACATGTCTAAATCATAAAATTCATTTATAACAGGCTATGGTGTAGAATACGATTATGTTGATCCCCGTGAATTGCATCCTACTCTGGAAACCCATCGTATTAAAGGGTTATATTTGGCTGGCCAGATTAATGGAACGACGGGATACGAGGAAGCAGCTGCACAGGTATAATCTTTTATGTTTCGTAAAACATTCAGATCATTTAATTGATAAATACTTCCAAATAAATAAATATAAATAGGGAATAATCGCTGGAATAAATGCCAGTCTTTCAATTCGCGGTAAACCGCCATTCACATTAGATCGCGCCGATGCTTATATTGGCGTACTTATCGACGATCTAGTGACCAAAGGTGTTGAAGAACCATATCGAATATTCACGTCACGATCGGAATATAGACTGTCGTTGAGAGCTGATAATGCTGATTATCGGCTAACACCTAAAGGCATATTTAAAATTATTGATATAAACTCTGTTTGCATGGTAATACTGTTCTTAATCCAGAGTCGATTCATAATATCTTTTGTGTTAAGGTTACGCAATCGGCTGTGTGAATCAAAATAGATGGAAACTATTCAAAGAAACCGAGTCGCAAATGTCTCGTGGTACACAAATACTTGAAGATTTTGAATTGTCGCCGCAGAAATGGAAGGTTTTAGGCATAAATATTAATCAGGATGGGATCAAACGAAGGTACAAAATCGAACGATATATAATCATTCAATGATAGGACTTTATTAATACATTTCACTATCTGTTTTGATAAAAAAACTAGTGCAGTTCAAATAATGGGTCAACATGGTATAACATTTGATCGTCTCGCTGAATTAGTTCCGGGACTTTCTGACATTTCGCCTTCATTGAGAAATCGATTATGGATAGAAGGTATATCTTATCCAAAGTAAAACCATTTGATCTATTATGTATCTTTCAATTTACTTTTGTTGTCATATTATATGCGTATAGGTCTATACCGGATATATCTAAAAAAACAAGCAGTCGAAGTTGAAGAATTCAGAAAAGATGAACGACTTCAGATACCTGATGACATTGATTATGACAAGTAAATGGATCATTTTTCCTCCTTCCTTATAAATCTTATTCTTAAAAAATGTGAATTAATATTTTTTCAAATATCAAGAGTTTATAATCTTTCAGTTGAAGTACGATTAAAATTGAAATTAGTTCGACCAACAAGTTTGGTATGTTAATTTATTTATTAGTATATCTGTTTATCTACTTATCATTCAATTCCAAATTTTTATTTTAACAGGGTGCCGCAAAACGTATAGAAGGGATGACACCAGCCGGTATTATAACCCTACTTAAATACGTAAAAAGACAACAAAGATTTAACTATGCACCTCGTGTGTTTTCGTTGACTGAATTCCATCAAGGACAACAACATTCTAATCAACATAATGAAGAACCATCCATTCAAGACATAGGTAAATAAAATTAATCTTGGGAAATGGCAGAAATGTTTTGACCTTAAAATCAAGATCATCATTATGGTATTATAGGAATTAGCAATCTAAGTCTCTACAACATTTTCATTATATAATTTAAGTTTAACCAAGTCTTTAAAAGGTTCAAACTTAGAATGAAAGACCAAATAATACAAGCAAAGTACGTTGTATTTACAAAAATATATGATATAACACAATAATTTAGTAACACTAAAAAACAAAAAGTTTCAAATTAAAAAAAAACTAAAATGATTGAAGCTTCATAATATGTTCATTTTCAATTTTATTATCCGTTTCCAAATTATGAATTGACAAAGTTTAATTGGTTCAGCATTATCATGATAAAAGCTTAATGAAATAACTATTTGATAATTTATGTAAATGGGTGAGACATAAGATTGATAATGGATGATCAAACGCTGGTTTTTTTTTTAACGTAAATTGTTTCCATATGAAACAATCCTTCTGCATTTCTCATAGTATTTTTATAATGGTCCAAATAATTTATTGCTTATTTGAGAAAATTAAAGTGGCCGCGAGTTTCGTGTTGACCATTTGATGCATTAATTCTCGTTTTCCAATTTTTCACATATATATCGATATATGCATCAAGATGTATTCGATCCAGGTCTTAATCCTAACCACTTGACCAATGCGAATACCAGAAATTATTTTTAATATAAAATACTATATAGAATTTTCACTATAATATAAAAAATAGTATAATTTTTACAAAGATGGTGAATAAATAAACTTGATCTACACAATACAGAAAAATCAAAACTACAATAATTATTTTTACATTTATATTCTAAAAGTGAAATGATAATGATGATGTATGATGATATATGTGTGATGATGATGTATGAGTGATGGGAGATGTTAATTAATGTGGAATTTTTGAATATAAATATATATATTTTTGTGGAATGAAAAGGAAAATAAATATATGGGAGATTAAGATGAATATTATTAGGAAAAAATGACAATAAGGATTTCGCTCTTTCTTTTTTTTCTCAAAATAACGGAAGACTGAAAAATACAACAACACAATACAACACAACACAACATCACATCAACCACAACCACAACCACAATTTCGAATGAGATAATAGTCCAAATTACTGCTTAACTGATCATTGAAAATCCACCATCACTAAACAACATTAGCATCTATTTCGTCTTGTTCCTCACGTGAATTCAAATTTAATGGTGGAGAAGGAGGCATGATCGTGGTCGTAGAACTGAGTGGTGTACTAGCTTTGGTTGTGGGACTGAGTGGTACAGTGGCTGTAGTTGACACGGTGGTGGTGGTAGTGGTGGTTGTGGTAGTTGTCATTTGAATTTGTTGAGGTCTTTGTGGCTTCGATGGTTCACTTAATCGACTACCGGCTAATTCTCGTTCATCTAGATATTCTTGTTCCACAAAAGCACGTCTGTGTACGTTACTAGATGGTTGATTTACCCCCCAAATATATTAAATATATTAATATTCATATAACTAATACTATTCACGAATATTACTACAACAAAGAATACTAACCTATGTGTTAATGGTCTACATATAGCCCAGCAACAATTAAGAGATATACTATGAAAATCGTAGGGATTTTTAAGCCCATTACGTCTAGCTAAAGGTGCTCGAAGCTATTAAAAGGAAACAAGTAAATTAATAATTCAATAAATAAAATAAATCGAATAATTAAAAAATTCTCACCTGTTCATGTGTGGTCATATTTTTACATATCAGATATGTGTGATAAATCGTTAACCCACCCACAGACCACACTAATAGAAAAGCAATCACTCCAAGAACAACACTCACAGGTGCCACCAATATACTTTCAATAAAACTAATATTATGTTCTTCCATTAATAACACCAAATGCATTATTGAAAATCCTAAAATGTACAGACACAATATGGTGCCAGTACATACAAACGTGTAGAAGCTACGATAATTTCGACGACCTATACAATTATTTAACCATATACAATGATGATCTTCACCTTCTAAAAAACCAACAATGATAAATGCCATGAGAATTAAATAAAATAAATAACGCATATATATTTTGACAGTCAAAGAATACAAACCAACGCAATTGTCACATTGACGACAATGACTACATCTTGGTGGTCTATATATTTTACATGTTTCACAGTACTTCAATATCAACGCTGTGCCGTTCATTTTTACGTCTTTTGGCAATGGGATACTACGAGCGGGAAAATAATGGTGTTGATGATTGTTTAAATGTTCAGCTTCTTCAAGATCCTCCACAGGAGGCGAAGGATCAAGATTTCGTGGAATTATCTATGAAAATATTTGTAAAAAATATTTTATTTCTCTTCCTCCCACAAAATATCAATCAATAATACCAAACTAAAATCAATATTACAAACTTACACCTGGATCTGACCACGAAGTTCTAAGCATACTTGTCAAAGCCAAAAGAAATAGATAAACAAAAACATAAACAATCGCCGGTGATAAATTTTGGTATATATATGGACCACTATAATAATGATTATTATATCGGAATTAATGAAACAAGCAAGAATCAGGAAGTCACGCACTCTGTGTAAAATACTTGCGTGAATGTTAAAAATAAAAGACAGGGCACAATAAGCGCCGTCATCGCGACCATAAATGCAGGAAAATCTCGACTAGTCATTATTCTACCGCCCAAAAAAAATCGATTTCTGCCCGGCCACACCTGATATAGTCGTTTACGCCCTTGGCTCTTTTCTGAAGGCAAGGAAGCAGGTTGAAAAACAACTCGCGGAAATAATTTTGCTATTGACGCGTAAGGAGACGTAGCAGGATCATTTGTAACTAATTGTTTAGCCACCATTATTTTTGACATTGCTCTGGCTCTATTACTACTTATCGTATCTATAGTCAGTGCAGAATCTCGTATTCGTCTTGAAGAACCAGACTCTACATAGTCATCTAAATTTGCTGGTTCCAATACAGAATCTATAGCCGCCTGTGATATATTATCGATACTCATATGCTTTATAGAATCTCCTCTTTGCAAGTCTAACGAACGACTTGCCCGATTATAATTACTATAACTACTATTGGGATTGAGTAGATTGGTAGCGGAAACAGAAAATCTGGTCAAAGGTGTATTATTGGTAGGGGCTGATCGTTGTGGCAAATGCTCGTCATTTTCTTCAGACGACATTCGGGACATCGACGAGGAAAGAACCGTGCTCCCCATTGCGGAAAGTAGCGGAGGCAACGGCTCAGTAGGTGAGTTTGAAGAGTGCGTAACATTTGCGTGAATAGAATATGTGGATTTCCGTCGAGTTGACGAGTGATGTGTTATTGGTTTTCGAGGGGCGAAAAACTGTTTTGAGGGTAAAATACCGGACGCATGTCGTGAGAGTCTAGCTTGATTATTCATTTTTTGAAGAAAATTTATAAAAGAAAGTAAAGAAGGGTTATGTATATATGTGTATAGGATAGAATAAAGAAAGGAAAGGAAAAAAGGGTTAGGAAATGCCCTTATTAATATTGTGAGAAACCAAAAGAATGAAAGACGTAAAGGATTGGTGTATGCACATATAAATTAATATTTTTAATTTTATTGATATACGCATACTTTCACCAATATAAATACATATATTAAAGATTGCTGCTCATAACTAAAAAGGTGAAACCATTGTAATAAAAATAAAGTAGATCAGCATGGTTCTTACCTTTTCTGAATTTTCTGGAGGATAATCGATAGTCAATAACAATAATTAACAAATTAATAATGGGAACTTCACTACTTGCTATTATCCTAGTAATTGACTCTAGCCGTGGTCCCCAATTTGTATTTCACTACCCCAACAATCCTAAGCGACGCGAAGAATACCAGTCGTCTCCTCCGGGAAACGAAAGTTGCAGTGATAGTGAACATGTCGATTATGACGAGATTGACATTTTCAATTGGTCTATTAGAATTGGCGATGAATTTGATCAACAATCAAAGATGGAAGAGGATGTCGTTGATGATTTTTCAAATAAACCATCAAATAGTCATACTTCGTCGGATGCTCTTAACTCGGGTGAGATTAAGTCGACTCAACAAACATTATTTGGATTCGGGACAGGATTTCTGGCTAATATTCTTTCACCAAAATTGCAAAGTTCGAAAAAATTTCAATTGACCATAGATAATTTGACGTTTATTGGCCAGCCGGTTTTTTGGCCTAGAGATATTCAAGAAAATAACAGCGATAGTGGAGGAGGAGGAGGAGGAATACCAGCTGCTCCGAAATTTGGTGATAATGTAAAATGCCAAACATCAAACGATAATGAAAAAACGCAGCGGCAATCTTCCAATGACAAAAATAATCATAGAAATCCTGACATTACATCAGACAATAGTAATGATTCTTTTTCACAGACAAATCAGTATCAACAAAATCGATATTTTACCACCTTTCATCTTGTATTTGTCTTGGAGCCACCCGAATTGGAACTTAATCGCCAAGTCGATAATATTTATAAACATGTGATCACAAAATTAACGGCCGCATTACGCTATGAACAAAAAAGATGTGACTATGTGCGAATTGAAGCAGAGAAAATCATAGCGTTGCGAGATGACGGCATCATCAAAAGTATGGATATGTGAGCCTATTTTTCTTGAAAGAACAATATCCCGGTTGACTTTTTTCTCACGATTTAACATTTTAATAATTCGAGATAGATTTATCATTTGACGAAATAACGGAAATCACTCTAAAGAAAAATTCACTCGCGAAAGTTATCGCCCAAGTGTATCATGATATATCCAACGATGCCATTGCCCATGTTATTATCAACGATTACATTGATTTGTCATTACAAATACCTCCACTCGCTCCTTCAATGTTTTTCTCTCCGCTGGATAATGATCGTGATGGCTATGAATACGCACATTTCCCTGTCATTGCACCGTATCATACTCTACTTTTACTCGAAGATCCAGAAGAAATTTTAAAAAGCATGCCATTAGATGCAAATCCAACGCTCGTGCAATTGGTACAGATCTTGACACCTACTCAGCGGTACGTGTCTATTCATACATTATAAACTTACAGGATAATATTTTTCCATTTAATCGTGACCATTTTTTTTGGGAATTTCTCTATAGGCTGGCAGAATTAAGTACTGCACTTGATTGCTCTCTGGCGCATATTTATCGAATTGCTGCTCATTTGATATACTGGCGAAAGGCAAAATTGATTGATGTAATAAGTGTGAGGAATGTTTATGCTGTTAGTCCGACAGCGGATCTTAATTCGTAAGTCAATTTAATTTTATTTATATAATGTCTGTTATGATTAACTCTTTAAATATCATAACTTAATGTTCTGCTAGTTTATCTGCAATTAATGCAGACTTTAGTCACATAATTGATCGTGATATCTTTGGATTTCTCGCGTCACTTTCCACCCCGAAACCATACGCGAGCATAATTCCATCTAAAGATCTTCGTACAATGTATTTAGAAGCAATTACTTTCTTGTTACGTAAAGACTTGGTAATCCAATTACACGCATACTTTTTAGTCATGATTCCACAACATATTAAGATGGGATTAACATTAGAAGAGTATCAAGAAAAGATACGAAATGCTGCGGAAAATGGTGGTGGTGGTGATAATGGTGGTGGTGGTGATAATGGCGGTGGTGTATCAGGCTCAATTATTCCTAACGCAACTACAGCCGACAATATTGCTATTATATCCGCACCGAGACAAGCTACTGAACTTGAACGTGAATGGTTGAAAAAGAAAACTGTCAATCAGCAGAGAGAAAACGTGGCAATATTTGAGAGGTAAATTTCGGTTTATTGTGGCGAAATTATGTTACTATCGCTTATTTAATATCGGACCAAAATTTTCTCGTTTGCTTTGTGTGCATTACAATAGACTTATCAAGTATTTCAATGGAAAACATCATATTGAAGAGATTCTATTTCGTGAAAATATTTCTCGGCGAGATCTCAAAATGGTGTTAGGATTATTTGATGAATTAGTAACAGTATTACGTTATTGAAATCATTCTTGGAGTTATTACAATAAAAGTATCATATTCACTTTTTTATGTGACAACCAAGCCGAATTCAACCTCTTAATATATATATATTTCTTCTGTCAAAACTGCATGTAATCAATAAGTTTATACGCTATGTACGCAAAGTACGTGTTATTATTAATTCCGACCCCGCATCATGTTAAGGTACATAAAAGAGGGTCCACTAAAGCCAGGTGATATATAATCCGATCCGGGGAACACTTACTAACCCTAACCAACACCGGCGGTCTCAGAAAAATGCCAAGAAAGATCAGTCAACTTTGGACGCTTATATTTCTCCCAATATCCAACCAATTTTTGTGGTCCGAATACAAAGAATGTTCGTCTTGATTAGGCGAATCAAACGAACCCGAGTTCGCAAAATTCGTAATAAATCAATTGGTGCAAGATATCTATCTTTGAAAGGTGGTTCTTGTCGAGGTTTTCGACATTGAGTTGATTCATGGTCCGAATTCCAGCACTTTAAACACGACTCCCAATACGACTGTAAGAGATTTTGACATAGATTAAAGCTATGACCATAGTATCGACACACATGACACGGGTTATCGTTTCCTCACGATCCGTCCGTCATTTTGTCATTTTGCGATTTTTCATGCGCCGACTTTGGATACCAATATCTCCACCAATATTGCGCCGATTTTGTTGATCTAAACGCAAAAATATTCATCTTAATTATAGGACTAAATCATAAAGATCTGATCATGTGTTCCAGAGATATGAGCCAAACCGAAATTTGCGACGGCACCAACGAAATGAAAATAGACGCCCACTAATGAAAAGAACCGCCAAATACTCACATTCAGGAAACTCGGTACGAAACCAAACTGGAACCGGTCGCGTAAGTTGTTAGGAGTGAGTTGGCCACAATTTTCGTTTCGCTGGTGTTGCGAATTTCTCCAGGTCGCGATCAGTTTCCAATTTGATTTCCTAGTTAATTGCCCCTATAAGATCTTATCCCCATAAGATTATATGGTTAATTAACTATGCTCAGTGAACTTTATTTTGCATGCTCCTATTCCTTTTTTATTTTCCTCAAAACTTAAAAAGCTTGTTCTCATCTACAAATTCCTCTTCTTTAACATCAAATTTATTTGGGACTTGATAGCGATGGTGTTATGCAGAATTCAGCCAATCATTGAATGTGTTACAGATATAGGTCATGTGTATTAAGTCAATCCGGATAATTATAAGATTATCCGAGTTGACTTAATCCTTAATTCACTACCTTGCTTTAGTGTTTCCTTATAAAAGGTCAATCAGAGTAGATTATGAGGTAGAAAATTTATTCGAAATAATAGTCATGGAGAATTCAAATAAGCAATTATCAAGTAAAATAAAGAACTTGAAGGTAAACTGACACAATAGAGAATAAAGATATTTTGCATCGATTTATACGAATATAATCTCATTTCTTTAAATTCTCAAACATAAATATATAACGAAAAAAGTTCATGCAAAGAACTCGTTCAAAGGAAGAACGAGAGAAAGAAGAACAAGCTGAAAGAAAAGCTATTTCTGAAGCTCATTGGGTTATTGAGACCGAGGAGACAGCAGCTTGGAAACCGTATGTTTGATTTAACTTTTTGTCACTCGTTTGCTTGAATCATGTGTCAATTTGACGTCTTGATTATTTATTAGGAAGTTTGAGGTCGAATATGAACCATCATATCTTCCATTCATTGAGAGTTCCATTAGTCTTCGGCGGAAATTTGTTTCGAAATCAGCTACACCAGATCTAAATAACATTTCAGATTCAGATAACGATATCATCAGGTCAATCAACAAAATCACAATTGAGCAGGATTCTCCGACTACTTTTCGAAATAGTCGACAAATGACCAAAGAAGAACGAGCTATCAGCCTTGAGAAAGCGCTCCATGAAAGGCATCTTGCTTTAGAGAAAATTCGTTCAAATCGTCAATTGAAACCTCAAAATAAACTAACACTAAATAATTCCTTATCATCGTCATCAATCAGTACTCCGAATTCACGCAAAAAACGAAGATACCACGATATTATATCACCCAACGAGTTTGGAAATGATGGCTATTTGGACACACACACCCGTCACGAAGTGGATGGCTCGCTGCCGAAAAATAAAAATCGTGATCTTGTATCTGATTTTCTAAGCGAGCAAAAATCTGTTTTAAGTGATAAGGTCACAGTTGCGGGAGAAGAAAAGTCAAAGAAAAAGCGGCCCCGTAATAGAAAAGGTAAAGAGAAAGAACCACTGTTTTTAAAGCCCGAAGAATAAAGAATATATATGACACTTGGCTCGAGTATTACTAGTAGTATTTTTATTATTTGAATTATGCTATAATCGAGAGCCTTTATAGGTTTTTGATTTGGTTTTATTAATACCTCTGCCTTATTGAGTAAACTATTTATATCTAAAGATCCGACGCCCATTTCTTGGTTATTTCTATTCCTTCATATAAAAGAATGAAATGGTATTTTAATCCACAAGAAACAATATATCAAGTACTTAAAAAAAAATTAAAATCAAGAAAATTGATTAATTTTGTGGGATCAGTCAGATAATCTTAATGTGATTAATTTCTACATCTGCCTGTAGCAAATAAATTATGGAAATCAAGATTTCCTCTATTGTAATTTTTTGAGCTATTATAACAATTTTTGGTTACCCACTATCGCTATTATAAATACAAAATTAAAATTCTAAATCCTGAAAATCAGGTTTTCTAAATGACTCGCAGGTCGGGACTCCAACAGTCTGTAATAAATTTATACCGCGACTGTTGCCGTACAGTTCGTAAAAAACCACCAGTATGGATTCACTCCTAATAAAAATTATGAATATCTGCTGTTTCTGCGCTAGAACAGTTCAAGCTTTTCGTTTTTTTATGAAATAGGAAACAAGAACACGTTTCCAGGCTTTCGTCCGTGCACAATTCCGACAACCTGATATCACATCAAAAGATCATACAGCTATAGAATATTTATTACGAAGAGGAAAAAAACAATTGGAAGCTTATTCAGGAGAAAGTATTAAAGATATTTCCCTATGATAATTCTATCATGGCCATCATGCTATCACACGTAGCATACTGTTACGTGTATTTCAATATCGATATACATCATGTATGCTTTCGTGTCTCATAATAATACTTTTGCGAAATGGCATCATATTTTGGTGAATATTTCGATTTCTCTTGTTTTAAAATATATCTTGAAAGTCTTTGGCTTTCTCAATCTCAATTTCAATGGGTTTAAAATAGGCAGCAAAAATTGTAATGTTGCTTTTTCAATTTAACACCTCATTCGAACACCAATTCTCATTTTTAGACGAAAAAGGACTACCAGAACCAGAACCAACCCCACCTCAACCACAAGAAGACGAGTCAAGCTCAAATAGTAATATTCTGAACAAAAATTTGAAAATTCTTCACGTTTTTCTATTTAAATATATGTAATTTATTCTTATTTATAGATGCTCGTAACATATTATTTGAACGTTTAATGGAAGGGTAAGTAATAGTAATTTTACGTGTTTCTTATAATTCTTGGAATTCCTGAAAAGTATTTTCTCGTACCAAACTGATTTATACATTTATCTCTACGTAGAGTTACAGACCCAAACGGGCGTGAGCAAGCATTACGAGATTATATCAGATCAGTTATAGAAAACGCTGAGATAAGGTTTTTAGTGAAATAATGAATAATGTTCATATAATTCTAAAAATGCTCATAATCCGAACTTATTTCATGTTTAAAGTACACAGGGTGCACCACCTGCTTCTTATTCATTTATGCGAAATTTGCCAGTGGTGTCCGAATCTGAAATTCGAACAGGTAGATTTTACTTTTACTCTTTATATTGGTGATTTCGATATACTAACTCATGTACGCATAATATATCGTGTAAAGATGATGAATGTATAATATGCTCGGATAAATTTTCAGCACCAAAGAGTAAGACTGCAAGTGTTACGCGTCTCCCCTGTAAACACATGTTTGACCGTGATTGCATTCTTTCGTGGCTAAAACTGGTAAATATAATTTATCTTCTCATTTACATCAAGAAGCATTACGAAATAATATTCACAGTTTGAATTTATTAGCATAATACATGTCCAAATTGCAGACACGAAGTTGGTAAGCAATCTCGTTAATTAATTCAATTTATTCGATTTTATGCTAACTCGAACTCTTTTTTAGAGAGCGATGATCCTGAGTGGATAAACAAGAAGAAACGAGAGACGCGACTTGCTGCCGCTGCTGTTCAAGAGGAAGAAGAGGCTAATTGGATGTATATATAATTGGAACAAAGTCATTGATTGTACTTTCACCCATATTTCTCAACTATAATCAATCGAAGTTCCTTCAAGGAGTATCTGATTTATCTTCATTAACTTCATCCCATAAGTTTTTATCTTGCAGAACTCCTTTTATTTCCTGAGCTGCATTTTCCTGATATTTTTTTCTAAGCAAGCTTTACATAATTTATCATGATGTTGATGGTCTTCTGTTTCAGCTACACTATCTCTTTATCTTTATTTGAGTGATATAAAGTTAATTTTTAAATCCTTTTGAATATGAACAATATGTAACATTCCAAAGTGATAAATCATTATCCATTATTAACGATAATAAAAAATTAATTCATATTCTTGTTATATATTATCAACGAACAATGTTAATATTTTTCAGAACAAGAATAATTACTGATCTAAATCCTATAGAAGACATTTTTCTTGGTCCAAAACTTTTTTGAAAACTTAGAAATGCATTGTATAATAACTACACCTAAACGAAAAATGATATAATCTATAACTCTATTATGTGCAAACTCTTAATACATATAATAAAGTAAGCGTGATGAGGTTATTATTTGCTTGTCGTCAAAGTCGCAAGACAGTATTTTTCATAAGATCGAGCAATTTGCTGCCTTATGTAGACATTTCCATTTCTAATATAAAGAAAGATTCTACTCATATCGATATAGCGCAGTAAATTTGACGTGTGATCATGATATATCAATATCGATATATAAGAGTCACACCCCCTAAAATCATGATTTTTCACCTTTCGTATTATAAAGTCCCGCGAAAAATAATAAATTAAAGCCTGTACTTTATATACACATACTTTTTATACACTGGCTAAAACAGGCAAGAAAATGCGTGGTATTAAAAGCTTTAGACAATCCCGGCGGTATATACATTTAGACGATGACACTGGGTTTACCGATGCGCAGTTTGAAAGAAGATCTACACCAGGTGAGTTTTCGAGTATTTCGAATTGACTATAGTTTGGAAGCTATACATCCATATAGAATATGAACTTGTATTTCATAGTTAATTTTATTTCTTTTTATTAACCTCGCTTTTCTATTATGATTTCTAGTTCCATGGAAGTCGATATGTTTAGCTATAATTTTATTCATTTTAGGTGCATTGGGTATAATTTTTGGGTCATTGATCACTGCGGGAATTATTGCAGATGACGTAAGATTTTTTTACGAGTGCTTTTTCATTTCGCTTATTTACGTTATAATGATTATGATTAACAGGAATAATTTCTATTATTTTTAAATAAGTCTTGGTTAGATAAAGGAAAACCTTTTCTATTTCTTGGATCATTATTGTTTATTCCGGGTGCGTAAAATAGATAACAATATATGCTGAGAGTTTTTAAGCTTGGCTGACTCTTTTATTTTCTGTAGGCGCGTATCACGTCCGGTTAGCTTATTACGCGTATAAAGAATACGAGGGTTACGATTTTAATCAGATTCCGGATTGGGATTAAGTTTTATTTATCGTTTGCTTGTATATTGGTATATAATGATTGTGTGCTTTTTTAAACAATTTTAGGTTAGGATTCGTAGGGTTCATTGATATAGCGTATAATTTATTTATTCATTCTATTAGATCTTCATTATAGTATAATGCTTCATGCATTTATATACATAAATTTCGAGTATATTAATATGGTTATGTAAGTTATATCTATAATACACATACTACTTAATTTTTTACCATTACCTTTTATCATTCTTCATAATAAATTAAGATAATTTACTTTTTTATTGAATGTATAGCGTTTTACCTGAGATAAAATCTTTGTACATGTTCCGTATCATCTTCGCCATTAATCTTGCTGTCATCACTATCACCTATCACCCGATAACGAATTTCCATATCAAGATCCCGCGGATTATCAAATCCTTTGCGACACTCAAAAAACCCGGAAATCGTAGTGCCTGAAAAAAATAAAATTCAAATAATCAAAAAAGACATAAACAAATGGATAATAACCGATTAGATACCTTCTACAACTGGAACAGGATTTTCCAAAAAAAAGATGGTCTGTCGCCAATGTGTGACTTCCCCTTGAGGTCCAGTAGTAAAGAAACTATTACCACCGGTGTCTTTAAGCTTTTCTTTTAATTTTTTGATGCTCTCGTCTTCCTTATCATCGCGAGGTGGTTGTGATGATGATGATACTGTGACTGATTCTGACACTGGTATGCTGTTACTGTGACTATCACGAGTAAAAAAAGTATCAAAGTAACCCAAGAAAGCATGAATAGTTCCAGAACGCGTCGCTTCCAATTTAAACGAAACCGTGAAATCTAGGTTGTTTTTTCGGATTGTATGTATTGGGAAATCCTTTTTTTTATTTAAGAATAATATTTTTATTATCTTTTTTATTCACATACATTATGATACTTTGAAGCAAAAATACCTTTAGAGCAATAACATCGGTAATGATTGCTTTTGCATCCACTGATTCAATGTATGCTGATGATCTTACTGGGGACCGCATTGGAGTCATATCGAAACCTGCATCATTAAATAATAAAACAATTGGAATAAATTATATATTAGAAATCACAAATTCAAAAATTATCAATTGAAAATATCATGACTTTCCATAAATATCATTCCAAAAATCCAAAGCATCGTTAACCAAATCCTCTTCTTCAATTGCCGCAAACATTATACGGCACTGACTGGGTGCAACTATTGATCAATTAACCAATTAGTTTACCAAAAAAAACCCCCCACAAGAAAAACCAAAAAAATACAGGATAATCAAAAAAAATAAATATTTCCATACGAACGCCTCCAGGAACAAGCCACCGATCCCGCGCAACAATGACAGAGTCAAGCATCGCTTCAAACAAAAGAAAGTATCCCATCCATTCTGACACTATTATGTCGACTTTAGGAACAGGAAGGGTGACTTCTTCAATTTTTCCAGATATGAGACTATTACACAAAACCAATAACAATCATCAAGATTAAGTAGTAATTTATTTAGCATATTCCAAAAAGACACAACGTACGTAATAACATTATCCAATTTATTTACTCGCACGATTTCACGTGCACGTTCGATAATTGCTGATTCGTCGACCGAAATGACTATATGAACATTGAAACTCTAGTTTGGTATTAAACAATGAAATATGAAATAATCTACTAAATCCTCTCACAAAATGATTAAATAAAATTCTTCATAAAATACCTCTCGATGCTCCAGCTCTGGCCGCAAACAATGATAATATACCAGTGCCTAGAATTTATAAAATTTAAAAGAGAATAAATTGGGTGTTTTTTTAAAAAATATATGAATATAGTACTTTTACTTACCACAACCAACATCCAACACAACCTGTGCAAATAAATAAAAATAATCAGCAAATGCACACACAATAACTTTAAATTATGTAATAAGTATAAACGTGCAGAATCTAACCTTTCCTTTAAAAATATCTTTATTCTCATAAATAAAATCTCGATAACCTTCCGTTCTAACTCGATCTTTCAACATTTCAGCATGTATGCCTAGAACAGAATAAACAGTAAGAATTATTACAAGCTAAAAAGGTTCAATTCAATTTATGTGCAATTATAATTAAACCTGTCTTTGCATAAGAATTATAATAATAATTTCCATGATCCTCAATTGCGGCAACCGATCCTTTCGTTGATTTCAATGATTTTTCACTATTTATAATACTCACAATTAAGTATCAAAATATTAAAAAAAATATTAAAATATTCTAACAGTAATAATAAATTAATAAATTGCCTTCTTGTATCGGAATAAACGTCAAAAAAAGCTTCTTTAACCATTCCACGATAATCGCCAAATTGTGTTTCTACCTTTTTTAAATGAACCTCTGTATTAAATAGGCGTTCTTCAATAATATGAAGTTTACTTATAAGTTCATGTTCAAGTGGTGTTGTCGGATTATACGCTAATTATAAAGGTTAATAATAAATACTTGGAATTAATATAAAAATTTAATTACACGATAATTAATATAATAAAAATCGAAACAAAAGATACAAAACCTTCATTATGTTCATTTATGTGTGCTTTATATACCGGATCACTAAATTCAGAATCATTCTCAGATCCTATACTGTCAAATGCTAATTTTCGAATAAAAAATGAATTTTTTCCTATAACATGACTTATATAATAAAGAATATACTTTCTATTACCGTATAATAAGGGATCTTCTTCAATTACAGGCTTTAGATATTCATCATCTTCAAGAAATGTTTCTGTGCCGGTAATTGTAAAATTTGTGGTTTCTTCAAAAAACGGATTAATTAATGCCTTTACATTTTTTCATCAATTATAAAAAATTTTAATTAATCCAAGATCCATCTGAAAAAATTATAGTATTTTTATCTTAGGCAACAAACCTGCTGACGAATATAATTAATTAAACGAATACACCGATAAAAATCAAGATCTGTCAAGAATAGAATAATGATTAATTCATAATAATTTTTATAATAATTAGATGAAAAGAATTAACACCCACTCAAACTATTTCTTATTGACTTAAAGTCAAATCCATGTCTATCAATACAATGTCTAAACACATCATGGATGGTAGGTAATAAATCATTACAAAATAAGCATTTTGTTTCGGGTTGGATATCTTCTTCCTCCCAATCATCCCAGCGTTCATCTAAATATCCGAAATATTTCCATATGTTTTAATGAATATCTTTAGAGCACGTGATTTCAGAAAATATTTTCCCTCACTTCAAAATTAATAAAATAATACCTTTCGGATCGTACTCCGATTCGCTATACTCTGAATAAACTGAGGTTGCTTTTCCACGCTGTTGATTCGGAGTAGTTTCCATAAGTATGCAAGAATAGTTTTCGCTGGAGATAAAATTTTATTTTTTTATATTTAAGATCACTTGATCAAAATCTAAATGCGTGCTTGTTGATCATTTTACATCTTGTTAATAAAAATGATCTCAAATAATAATTATAATCAAATTATCCTGTATTATATATTAATACTTTCTTACCTTCAAAAAAATTTTATTGTATTAGCAAATATTGAGAAAGAGGTTTTCACGTGTACTATAGAAAATTTATCGAAACAAGTGTATGATCAGATAGATGCTTGGATCTTGAGTGAAAATATATCGGTTTGTATCTCTATATATTGGAAACAAAAATATCTTTATTTCGCGTGATTAAATTATTTTGATTATGTTTAAGAAAGACATTAAAATCTTCATACACGATAATACGTCATCAAAGCATTACACCATTTACAACCATATTGGAATTCGAAGAGCACCATGATAATAATAATCAAAATGTAAATGCTATTTCCGAGAAGAATAATAAAGAGCATTGGTACCTACTTTCTGACTTAATTGACGGTGAAACATATGAAACGCGTGTTTCTTATGCTGCATCTGTAAGTTATTTTGAATTTTGTAAGATTTTACATGATTTGACGGTATCTGTTTTTACTTTGATTTATTTAGTCGCCTACCAATTTCGTGATGGAAATTTACGATTTCGAAAGTGCTGCCACGATTTTAAGAAATCGAGGCGAATTGCCATCGACAGTAGTAACTAAAAATGATAATAATTATCATACTACATCAAAAATAAAAACAACAAAAAAATTACTTCGAATCCGAGGAATCTATGACGGGTATTCATATATACCAGGAAAAGAAAATCAGGCTGTAATTTACAATATAGGTAAAAAAAAAATCTAATCAATTATTTCAATCATTTTGATGATTTTCTTTATTGAGACTAATTTAATATAAATTAATAGTATTAGAGACACTATTATTCGGTATTGTTCCTAGAGTTGCAATAAAATTAATTGCTCTTCTGGTTTTCACCGTTGTGTTTAGTTATTTCATATTGGTGCCTTCCATTTGGAAGTTTTTGGTTGCTATTAGAGATCTTGATTATCAAGAAAAGCAACAGGAGCAAATTAATATTGATGAAGATGATGAATTGGACAGTAAATTAAAATATCAGTAAATACTTGCTAGTTGTTCTTTTTTTTCATATTGTATTTGTTACCTTAAATTTGCATTTTATTCTCAATATTTTGTACTTAATTTACCAGAATTGAAACATTTTATAATTATATTTTATAAATATATCAAATAATAGAATCTTATACAAATTATAAATATGTCAAATAATAAAATCTCGTTCTAATTGAGAAATATTACTTATAATTGGATATTATTTATAAATGAAAGAATACAATAATAGGAATTCTTTTTTAAAAATTATAAATTAAAAAAAATTCTTTTTGCAAATTTATAAATTTATTACATTAAAAAATTGTATAGTTACAAAACTATAAAATATTTAATTCATTTAATAATTTAAAATATTATTATTATTTAAATATTATTATTAATAAAAATTAATAATAGCTTATATATAAATTATTTAGCTTATAAAATTAATTATTAAATAAAAAAATAGTAATTGAAATTTCATTAAAAATATATAAAATTAAAAATTTTTGTATAGGACAAAAATTTCAAATATTACTATTGCATGTGTGATTCCATAATTTTTTTAGTCACTGTATATATTTTTAAAATAACTATGAATCTTTTTGGACTCACTTTCTAATCTTTTATCATTTTATATTTGAATACATTATTAATATTTATAAATAAAAGAAAATTCTATTTCGATAAAACATCAAAATTATAATTATAATATGTGAGATTATTCAATATATAAAAGTTTATATAATAAAACAATTCTTAATTATCAAAAAATAGAAACAATATATTCTATTATAAATATATATTTATTTAATATGGAAAATGGTTAGGGATATAGGTAAAAACGGGTCTATAGAATATCAGTATGGTATGAATAACCGGTTGACAATTTTGACCAACAGTAAAATTTAAATTGTGTATACCGTTTGTGTTGTGTATACAGTATACAATCGATCGGCAGAGCGAATAAGTATATAAATGGATAGAACGGAAACATGGATAGAACGGAAACTTTTGAGCTGAGAATAAAAATTTTACGTTTTAATCATAAAAATGCCAATTGGATTAGAAAATGTATATAAAAGTAGACTTGATACATCGAAATGGGATTATTCCCAATTAATCGATCCGTATGGCTTCAGATGGGAATACGGTATTACTCCATTCTCGGATTGGCAGGTAAATTTGATTTCATACTTAAATGAATATACTTCTTTGCAAAAATAATCGCTATCAGATATATGATTGTCTTAACTATTGATAAAAGATAATAGTAGGTTCATGGGCCCTTTACTTTACGACTATTTTCGGATTAAAGGTATTAATAAACATATAAAAAAATGTAATCACATTAAAAGTATGGGATTTAACGATAATATTATGAATAGACTTATATGTCATCAAGAACAGCTTTCAGCCTAAAATATATTACTGCGTTACATAATTTTATCTTAAGTGCTTGGTCAGCTGGAATGTTTATATATGCAGTGATTGATTTTATTGATCGATGGCAGGTGAGAATCATACATGTAGAGAGAATCATACACATATAATGACCATATTTAAATTAATTAGACGCGTGGATTACCTGAATGCTTTTGCACTTCAGATTCTTCATCTATTTCCGGTCGTTTATTCTACACCACATATATTTATTATCTTTCAAAGTTTTATGAATTGTTCGATACAATAATTTTGGTATTAAAAAAGGTAAATTTTATTTTATTTTTCTCCGACCTTAAATTTCTAATCTCTAATTTATATTGTTGTTTTATCCTAGAAACAATTGATTTTTCTGCACTGGTATCATCATGCTATCGTAATTACGATGGTATGGTCATGGTTAGAAGAAGCAAACCCGTATTCGACGTATGTAAATTTTATTAAATTATTATGATGAAAGGTGATGATAATGCCATTCTAAATACCATAATACCATTTTATTTCAGAATTGGAATGATTGCAAACACATTTATTCATATATTCATGTATTACTATTACTTTTCCGCATCGTTGGGTCGATCAATTTGGTTCAAGGTTAACTAAAAAAATATTTGATTTTGATTTGATTTACAAAATAATGCTAAATTAAATTTGCATATTTATACATAGAAATACATAACAACCGGTCAAATAATACAGTTCTTTATCGCATTTTTACTCGGCATTCCATATTTATATTTTCACTTTACACGTAACTGCGTGTACGGGATAAACGCATTTATCACCTCCATGACTTGCAATGCTACTTTTCTGATCTTGTTTATTAGGTTCTATCGTAAAACTTATTCGAGAAAAGATAAGAAATCAGAACAGGAAAAGAAAAAAGATTGATTGAATAGTAGAAACTCTCAATATAACGACCCTAAATTCGATATAGAAATATAAAATCATATAACAATAATTAAATCACGTGTTCGGTTTATTAATTAATTATAGGATATGTCTCATCTATTGTATTAATTATGAGATCGACAAATGCATAAAATGTAGTTGTTTCTTAATAAAATGATAAAAAACAAAATTTTTGTCCCTATTACAGCATTATAATTTTACAAGTTAACATATTTCATGGTATTAATTGAAATTAAATTTCAAGTTTTTACTTTTTATTTATTTAATTATCGTCATTATTACTATAATATCGTTTGCGCAAAACAATCGCGTTTACTAATTTCTCCCCAAGTCACAAGTAATTTCCATCGCTGATTGGTTGACTGCACACCGATCAACCAATAAATTTTTGATCAACCCGCTAATGTAGATCCTTAACTAATACAATAATTTACTAATCCCCCAAGTTCTAAGGTTAATTTTAGCGTTAGGATTAAAGTGTTGAAAGACTTTAAAAATGACTCATTATATTGTCGATTTAAGATTTCTTGCACCATACAAATGTTTGAACTTGTGCAACCAAAAATTTTCAAACATATTTATCTTATTTAGTTATAAAGAAACAATGATCAATACCAAAAAAAATAGCTTACACTAATTGCAAACGATTTCTTTCTTACGCTTAATGACTTGAATTGCAATTGCAACGGCAATGGCAACAATCGCAGTGGTAATGATAATAATCGTAATTGCAATGGTAGTGGCAGTTGCAACACCAGCAATCACAATGACAACGGTAATAGTAACGGTAATGATGACCGTAATTATCATTGTTGAATTATAGGCATGTGTTGCCTAACAGCAAATCGGACAAAATTATTGAATTTATTATATGTGCAGGTCACTAAGTTACAAGTGAATTAGCTTTAAATTCTATCAGAATCCCTCTTTATGATTAAAAACATTAGAAAATGCGTAGATTGATAGTTCACTAATTACTCTATAATATTACGTATTTTTTTTTTGACTGGAAAAATCCTGATTATTAGTCGATAGCTCTTAAAGATTAAGGAATTTAGAAGTTTATATATTAGTTTGACCATACAGTCAGACCTCCCTAAGTGCAACCCCTCTAAGTGCAATTATTCTTTAAATGCACGTTCTAATTTGGCCCCAACTTATAAGATATATGTAATTTTACCTCCATAAATGCAATACCTCTCTAAGTGCAAGTTTTTGCATGGTTCCGAGGAGTTGCACTTAGGGAGGTCTGACTGTATATTGATATTTGCATAAATAGTGAATGATCTACACTAATAACGAGTAACATTAAAAAAATAAAAATAACTATATAATTAAAGCTAATATTAAAAAAAATTTTTAAATATTTTAATTTTTGGTAAAAATAATCAGATATGAATTTATAAAATTTTAGCAGGCAAACTTGCCTGCTAACCTTACGGTTTAAGGGATAATTTTTAAATATCCCAAATTAGTTGATTATATATATAGCTTTTGGCAGTTCTAATAATAATAAAGCAACTATATGATCTATTTTTTACCGACGGTGGTCGATTAGTAAAAATTACTTTTCAATATTGGCCAAATATGATTTTTGAGAGATCTATATATAAAGACCTGTTTTAGAATATAACGTCATCTAATTTTAAAGATTATTGCCACTGCCAAAAGCTTCGCCTTTTTGAGAGATTCGTAATTATTTTTTAACATTGGATCCATAACAAGTCGACCCCAAGTACTCTCTAAGCAATGATCTTTATTAATTTTGCGTTCCCATATGGAGAATCTAGAATAATGATAAGACAATACATAAGTAATAAAATAAAACAGTTGTTGACGGTCATTATTATCTACTGCATCATATCACTATCTTTGATTATCCAAATAGAATTTATTAAAGAAGTTCTCGAAGACTTGTGGTAATGTTTTAAGCTAAGATCTGGAATACAGGTTACTTCGTTGAATACCGAAGAAGAAACGCGTTTCGAAAGTTTTTTGTGGATGAGTGAAATCTACTATAAATGAGTAAATGTTCTTCCAACATCTATAAATTCGTCATTATGATTGACTATCCAACTGAGACGAGTGGCTCTGTAAATATTTGTACTTTCCAAATAATTCTTGTTTTTTATATCACCTCCGATTAATTTATTTAGCGCGTTTTTTCATTCGAGGGTTGTACTGTGTTCACGTTTACACCAATTAACAAATGCACGATCTTCAAACGAAGTTGGAAAAACTATGGTGTATCGCATTCATTTTCTAACTTGTAATATGCAGCATTCGTTATGGTAATTCCGAGGACAACCAGCCACTACTAAGCAACTAGGAGAAACTTTTTGAGAGCAAAAAGGACAAGTTGGATAACTATTTTCCCTCTCTTTTAAATGTTCATTATATTTTTTTTCGGCTTGAGTCAGTTATTTTTCTAATTCCTTAATATATACATGTATAAGGAATAAAAAAAGGCAAACTATAAAAAGCTTTAATATCTCATGTATATGATAAGTTGCAAGCTACAAAAATGTAATTTTAGATATTAAAGCACATAATTGAACGTTGCAAACTGTTCGTAAACTCATAAATTGAGAATATTATCAAAAGAGCGATAGGATACAAACGACAAATTCCGATAAATTGAGATCAGATTTAACTGGCGTCATACTTTCCAACATTAAGTATAAATATGCACAGTGAGCATTCTTTTTTTTAAACAAAAAAATGGATATACCTTCCTTTAAAAAAACCCTTAATGCAGAATCTACATCAATAACTTTTGCAGTGGGTAATTCAATAGATAACACTAATCACGTGGTTCCAACAATTACTGAAAACGATATCTCCAAAAAACAAAAAAGAGATAACGACTCCGACGACGAATATTCTCG